GAGTTTCATTATAATTAATTAATTTTCAGAAATAAAACTGATTTCAATTACATAAGCTTTTTTCCTCAACTTGGAAAGACCCCAATATTTTGGTTAGCAATAGAAGAATAAGAAATACGTTTAGTTAACAAGAAGACCACAGCAAATAAAATACCACAGGAGCAATTTGATTAATTTAAGCATGAGGATGCAATTCACGTGCAAAAAAGGCAACAAGTGCTGGTCAAAACTTGAGAATTGCCCTCCCTCTTCACAGTCTTCTCACTTCCATTCAATTAAAAAAAAAAAAAGTGTTGCGCTCTTGGGTAAAGAATCCATACCAGTAACTGAACACTTCTGAGGGAGCTTACTATTAAAAAATGCTTTATAAACAGAGACAATAAGGATGCACTTGTATTTCACACTGACTAAAATAGGATAGAGAGAAACAAACTTTAAGTTGAATTTAAACTAACTATTAATGTCAAAACTATCAAAACAGATGAGTCAGTACCATTTTAAACAGTTTTTAAATGAAAAACAATTACTCATACTTGTCTATATTTTAATAAAACCAGAGAACTTCACTATTCTAGGCACATGCTCCTAACGCAGCAGCAGACTACCTGGCAAAGACACATGAACAATAATCAGGCACACAGACAACCACACCCTGAGAATCTCAGCTGTGAAACAGCTTTGATAGCCAGTTGTTTTATTGGAGTCTTAGCAATAAAAACATATTTCCAGCTGCATTTAGTCAAAGGTCATTAGGAAAGTTAGAATTTCTGCTGCCAGCCCTACATACATACAGTTCTCAAGATTTAATTCCTATTTTTCCCCTTATGTGGGAAGTGGCTCTAGATGCTGATCCTAGCAGAATGCAGGTTACTAGAAATTCCATTTAGGATTTGGAGCTGTCTACTAATTTTTGCATCTAGACAACCTCTATATGGAATCAGAATAAAAGAATAGAAGATTGGTCTGGAAGTTGCACTCTCTTTTACAGCAAAATAAATGCCCTATTGCAACCTACCACTTAGCCATTATTAGCTGACACATTTTAACTGTTTTATATGGAAGGAGAACTCAAAAATAACAAACATAATAAATAAGTTACAGGAACGGAGGCCATGGAAGTAGAGTCTACTTCAGACTAAATTTTCACTAGAAGCAGAAAGCAATTTCCAGGGGAAATGTTACAGAACTTCATAATAAACACAGTAAAGTTACATTCCCATTTCAGCACGCAACAGAAATACAGTTGGATACTGCTGTACACAACTTTGTTTCAACAGAATCAGGCTAAAGACCTTCCTGTAAGACTTTTTTTTTTGGCTAAAATTAAGCCAGAGGATGTACTCTGTGAAGCCCTCTTAAGAAGCGTGAAAACGAGTGAGAAACAACAGATGAGAATAACTCCACAAAGCATGCTAACAAAGGAAACGAAAGTTACAGAGACACAGACAGGAAGTGCAAATGCAAATAGCTCTGTAAGAACTCGGGGCAGCCAAGTTTATCATCTCCAGAACTGCGTTACCCCAACCCCCCCCCGACTTCATCCGATCGCCATAACAAACGCTCCCTTAGCCCAAACAGAATTGTTGCTTTCTGCTCTTACACCCTTAAAACGAGTTACGCGGCTGAGACCCGGCAGAACCAACCACGCGAACGGCCCGCGCGGCGGCAGCGGCCCGGGGCCGCGCTCCAGCG